GAGGGCAGCGGGGTGCAGGCTGGGGGTGAGGGCAGCGGGGTGCAGGCTGGGGTGAGGGCAGCGGGGTGCAGGCTGGGGTGAAGGCAGCGGGGTGCAGGCTGGGGGTGAGGGCAGCGGGGTGCAGGCTGGGGGGAGGACAGCAGGGTGCAGGCTGGGGGTGAAGGCAGCGGGGTGCAGGCTGGGGTGAGGACAGCAGGATGCAGGCTGGGGGTTAGGGCAGCGGGGTGCAGGCTGGGGGGAGGGCAGCGGGGTGCAGGCTGGGGGTTAGGGCAGCGGGGTGCAGGCTGGGGGGAGGGCAGCGGGGTGCAGGCTGGGGGTGAGGGCAGCGGGGTGCAGGCTGGGGTGTGGGCAGCGGGGTGCAGGCTGGGCGAGGGCAGCGGGGTGCAGGCTGGGGTGTGGGCAGTGGGTGCAGACTGGAGGGCACAGGTGCTGCCGTTGCCCGCACACCCTGTCCAGTCCATGCGCTGCATGTGGGCGGAGAGTGGGCCGGTGGAGCCATTAGACTGAGCACAGGTGGGTGGTGAGGAGAGACACGGGTGTGACAGACCCCGGGAGGCCCTCTTCCTCCTGGGACCCCCGTCAGCCTCGTCCCCGGGAGCGAGGCGTTCCCAGGCTCGGGCTACATTGGAGGACCCCCATGGGGCCCCCCAGTGCATTTTATTTTATTTTATTGATTTTTTACAGAGAGGAGGGGAGAGGGATAGAGAGCCAGAAACAACCATGAGAGAAACATCGACCAGCTGCCTCCTGCACACCCCCTGCTGGGGATGTGCACTTAACCAAGGTACATGCCCTTGACCGGAATCGAACCTGGGACCCTTCAGTTCGCAGACCGACGCTCTCTCCACTGAGCCACACCGGTTTTGGCCCAAGCTGCATTTTTGAAAAGCTGCTTCCTGGCCGGCCCTTCGGGCGCCACCAGCTCCCTGGCACCCAGCTCGATCTCACGCTCAGGAGAAATAGTCAGGCCGGATCTCCAGGCCCCAGAGGGTGGGAGGTCCCCAAGGGACTGACAGCCGCGGTGCCCCCCTCCGGCCTCCAGCCCCCCTCCAGCCCCCTCCTTCCTGGCTGGCCACCTGGGCTTGCTCCCTGGAAATGCAGCAGCCGAGATGGCACCTGCAAACCTCGATGCCACTGCACCCCCTCGGGACGGTGCTGCGGTGAAATCAAACCAGATACACCCCCGACCAGGGGTTTCCCCCCGTCTGCCCTCTGAGGTGCCGCCTTCCCAGCATGCTCCTGGGCGTGCTGCCAGGCCCACGCCACCCCCTCCAGGTGTAGCCTCCATCGGCCTGGTCTCCAGCCAAAGCAGCTTTGGAGAGGGCGGGAGGGCCCGGGCAACGCCCTCTGCCCTCGCCGAGGGTCCCCTCTGGGCACCAGGCCTGCTCCTGCCCCAGCTCAGCCCTCACAACACCCCGAGGGGAAGGTCACTGTTAGACCCATTTCAGAGATGGGGAAACTGAGGCTCGGAAGGGCTCATTTCCTTGGCAGAGGCAGGGCTGGAGCCCAGCCTGCCCAGAGCCAGGCGCGGGCACCCATGGCGGTCCTCGGGGTCTTTCTCCGGCACCCGGCTGGCTGCCAGGAGTGTCTGTTCGCCCCGGCATTGGGCAGAGGGACGCCGGAATCTGTGGGGCGGGTGGCTGCCTGGGGTGTGGTGGCGGCGGGAGGGGTTCCAGCACGTGCGTGGCCGCTGCCCTGGCTGCTAGGGGGAGCGGTGTGAGCACACATGGCCTGGACCTGCGGCCCGTGGCGTGGGTGGTGGCGGGTGGTGGGTGGTGGGTGGTGGTGAGTGGCGGGTGGTGGGTGGAGGCGGGTGGTGGGTTGCGGGTGGAAGTGGATGGTGGTGGGTGGTGGGTGGTGGGTGGTGGCGGGTGGTGGGTGGAGGCGGGTGGTGGGTGGAGGCGGGTGGAAGTGGATGGTGGTGGGTGGTGGGTGGTGGGTGGCAGGTGGTGGCGGGTGGTGATGGGTGGTGGTGGGTGGTGGGTGGTGGGGGTGGTGGGTGGAGGCGGGTGGTGGGTGGAGGCGGGTGGAAGCGGATGGTGGGGGTGGTGGGTGGTGGGTGGCGGGTGGTGGCGGGTGGTGATGGGTGGTGGTGGGTGGTGGGTGGTGGGGGTGGTGGGTGGCGGGTGGTGATGGGTGGTGGAGAGTGGTGGTGGGTGGTGGGTGGTGGGTGGAGGCGGGTGGTGGTGGGAGAACGCGGTCTGGGCACCCTCCGCACCCACCGCCGCGGGGCCTGCAGTGCCGGCTGTCACTGGGAGGTGGCGCCCTTCCCCAGCGGTTGGAATCGGGCTGCCGAGGCCTTCCCCGGGCCACCTCCCCCGCCCGGCGGCAGGGCCCCCTGGGGCGGGCGGAGCCGAGAGGGTGGCCGCCCGCCCCCTGTCCACCGGGAGGTCACTGCCCCCGCGGGTTCGGGGTGAGGGGAGGACCCGCCTCGCCTGCTCCGCCGGGCGCACCCTCAGCCGCGCCCAGGCCCGTTAGGAGCCCCTCCCGGCCTCGCACCGGCGGAGCGCCCTGCGGAGCCGGGGGAGGGCCCGGGGCGCGGGGCTCCGGGGGGGGTGGGGGGGTCCCTCCCGGTCCGCCCGCAGCGGGGCCTCCGCCGGACCTGTGTGATCGGGCGCGTCGGCCCCGCCCGCCCCGCCCGCCCCTCCCGCCGGCCCCGCCCCGCCCGCCCCGCCCGCCCCGCCCGCCCCTCCCGGCCCGGCCTGCAGGCCCCGCGGCGGGCGCCAGGGGGCGGCAGGGAGCGGCGGGAGGAAAAATCCGGTCCCGGGGCCGAACTGAGGCGTCGCCGGCTTGTCCCCGCCTCCCGCTCCCGCTCCCGCCTCCCGCCCCGCGCAGTCCGGGCGCAGCGAGCGAGCGGCCTCCCGGCGGCGGCTCGGGCTCCGGCTCCGGCGGCGGCGGCGGACGCAGCGGGCGCGGGGCGCGGGGCGCGGACTCTGCGGCGGCGCCATGGCCGGGGCGCGCGGGGCGGCGGGCGGGCGGCGGCGGGAGGCGGCGCGGGGACACGGCCGGTCGCCCCGGGCCGCCGCGGGGGCCGCCGCCTGAGCTCGGGCCCGGGGCGGGGCGGGGCGCGGGGCCGGCGCGATGTCGGTGCCGCTGCTCAAGGTCGGCGTGGTGCTCAGCACCATGGCCATGGTCACCAACTGGATGTCCCAGACGCTGCCCGCGCTCGTGGGCCTCAACTCCACGCGCCTGTCCGCGGCCGGCGGCGCCACGCGGGACCGCAGCACCGGCGTGAGTCCGCCCTCAGCCCCTCCCGAACCCCCGAACCCCCCAAACCCTCCCGAACCCCCGAACCCCGGCCCCACCTCCTCCGATCCCCCGACCCCCGTCCCCACCGCCCTCCCCGGCGGCGCCGCGCGGGACCGCAGCACCGGCGTGAGTCCGCCCCCGCCCCCTACGAACCCCCATCCCCACCCCCAATCCCCCCGGACCCCCAACCCCCTCCAAACCCCCATCCCCACCCCCGACCCCCAATCCCCCCGGACCCCCAACCCCTCCGGCGGGCGGCTCCGCGCGCTGCGGGGGGACCGCTCCCTGCCCGGCCCGGCCCGGCGCTGCCGCCGCCGCCCTCCGCCCGCTGCCCGCTCCGCCCGGCCTCCGGGGCGCGGGGCTCGGGCTGGGAGCTCGTGGGCGAGGTCAGGACGGAGGCGGGACCCGGGGACTCGTCCAAGGTCACCCCGCGGGGAGGGTGGGGCGCCCGGACTCTCCGCGCGGAGCCCTCCCCCTCGGTGACCCCGGACCACCGGCCAGGCCGCGCCCAGCCGAGCCGGCGCCCCCCGCCTGCACCCCAGCCCCGGGCTCTCCTCGGTCCCCGCGCCCTGGGCCCGGTGTGCGTGGGGCGGGGGCGCTGTCCCTGGTGCCTGGCTGGGCCCCCGCCTCCCGCGCCCCCGCCTCCCGCTGGGGCCGGGGAGGGGCCCTCCGGGCGGGGCTGGCGGAGGGCCCGCTGGGGGCGGCCGGGCTGGGCCCGAGGAGGGCGGGCGCCCAGGGAAGGGGCGCGCCCGGCGCTGGAAGGAGAGGTGAAGGGCACGCGGCTCCCAGCTCCCCCGGCTGCCAGGGGCGCTGAGCAGGGAGGAGGCTGGGGGACCCCCTCCCGAGACCCTCAGGGGCACCTCCGGGTCCGGGCACCCGCAGTGCTTCCGGCTTCCAGCCGCTCCCTCTGCCCGGAGCCGCTGGGCTGGACGTGGACAGGGTGGAGGGCCGCACTCTCCCTCCACCAACTTCTCCCGCCCCCACCCCCTCCCCCAAAAATAGCGGGACCTGAGGCTGCGGGGCAACCTGAGGCTGCGGGAGGAGGCCAGGAGGGGACGAGGGGAGCGGACCGCGTGGGCACCCGTCCGGGACCACCTGAGCCGCTGCTGCAAGGTGACACCTGCCGGCCCAGCTCCGCCGCCTGGGACTGCGATGGCTGACGCCGTCACCAGGAACTGGGGACTTCCGCCACCCTCCCTTCCACAGCACGCCGGGCGCTGGGCGGACGGGGACGGGGTTCAGGGCGGCCGGCGCCAGGCGGGCAGGAGGGTGCAGGCTGCGCCCCGGTCCTTGCACCCTGGCTCATAGCGGCTGGGTTATGTTAATGGTGAGATGGTGAGGCTGATCTCCAGCTCCAGGAGCTGCGGTGAGCGGGCGCCAGCTCCCCTGCGCACCCCCTGCCCCCCCCTGCTCGCCCCCCTGCCGCCCTCAGGGGGGGAGATCGTATTTCTCAGCGACGCGCCCACCAGCGGCCTCCTGCCTCCCCCTCCCGGCCCCTCCCAACGCCTAATGGATCGATTTGGTCGGCTGCCAACACGCCACTCTCCGCGAATTTAAGAGACGGCGAACGGCGTGCTGCCGGCCGCTCCGCCCCGCCCGGGGCACCCTGACGGGGACCCTTTGTTCTTGGGGACGGGCCCCTTCGCGGTCAGAGCGTCCTGAGCCCGGTTCTGTCCGCCCCGCCTGGGGCTGGCGTGGACAGCCCTCCCCCGTCCCCCTGTGTCTCACTCTCTCCTTCCCCGCCCCGCCAGGTGCTGCCCACCAACCCCGAGGAGAGCTGGCAGGTGTACAGCTCCGCGCAGGACAGCGAGGGCCGCTGCATCTGCACGGTGGTCGCCCCCCAGCAGACCATGTGCTCGCGGGATGCCCGCACGAAGCAGCTGCGGCAGCTGCTGGAGAAGGTGAGTCCGCTCGGGGCGTGGGCGTGCACCTGTGCGCGCGCGCGCGCGTGTGTGTGTGTGTGTGTGTGTGTGTGTGTGTGCAGGCGTGTGTGTTTGTATGTGCACAAGTGTGCGTGCCCACACCACCGCCGCCACCAAGGCGTGGCCAGCCCGCAGGGTCCGTCCCGGCTCCAGGACCCATTCTTCCCATTGAGGCTATTTGTGAGTGAGTGAGTGAACGAGTGAGTGAGTGAATGAGTGAGTGAACGAATGAATGAGTGAGTGAACGAGTGAGTGAATGAGTGAGTGAACGAGTGAGTGAGTGAACGAGTGAGTGAACGAGTGAGTGAGTGAACGAGTGAGTGAGTGAATGAGTGAGTGAACGAGTGAGTGAGTGAACGAGTGAGTGAGTGAATGAGTGAGTGAGTGAATGAGTGAGTGAACGAGTGAGTGAGTGAATGAATGAGTGAGTGAATGAGTGAGTGAACGAATGAGTGAGGGAGTGAACGAGTGAGTGAATGAATGAGTGAATGAATGAGAGTGAACGAGTGAGTGAACGAGTGAGTGAACGAATGAGTGAATGAATGAGTGAGTGAACGAGTGAGTGAATGAATGAGAGAGTGAACGAGTGAGTGAACGAGTGAGTGAATGAATGAGTGAGTGAACGAGTGAGTGAGCGAGTGAGTGAGTGAACGAGTGGGTGAGTGGATGGGGACTCCCCGGCAGCCCAGGAGGAGGGACAGATCCTCCGGTCGCTGCTGCTCCGTGAGAAGCCGCTGGGCTCCCACACGCGGTCTCCCCCGGGGATGCCTTCCCTCAGCCTGAGGCTCGGTCCCCAGCAGCCAGCTGCGGCCGGGGTGCAGGCCCCGATTTCTCCCGGGGGTTTCCCGCCTTCGAGTGGCCCCAGGCATTGCCCACCCCCCCCCCCCTGTGGGCGCGCTCCTGGCACAGCCGCGGATTCCCGTAAACATTCTCCGCCCGTTACCTCCCTGACTCCACAAAGGCCCGCTCCCCTCACACCCAGGCCGGCTTACACCGGCTCAGCTGCGGTCCCTCTTGGGACCCGTTTCCCAGCTGCCCCCTCGCGGCCCCGGGAAGGCCAGGGAGGGCCGTGTTTCCTGGGCAGGCGGCGGCAGCGGGCCCCAGGGGTGACCTAATCCACCTCCGGCCGGACGGGGGCCCCCGGGAAGGGCAGCGGCCGGGGTCTGTGTTGGCGGCAGGCAGTTGAGCAGCTGGGCATCTTCCGCGTGCTTTCTGGAGTTAAAATTAGTGGGTGACATTTTAATGCGTGCAAAGCGCCGCTGCTCTGGCGAGTGACAAGCCCCCTGTGCCGGGAGCTGCTGGCTGGACGCCGAGGCGCCGGTCTGAGACTCCGACGGTTGTAGCTCAGAGTAAGGCAGTGAGGGGGCAGGGGCTGCGGTGCCAGAGCGCACACACGGAGCGGCCAGATTGTGCTGATCTCTGAACATTAGCATAATCGTCTGACCACTCAGTGTGTGTCCTATAGAATAAAAGGCTAATATGCAAATTGTCCCTTCAACCAGGAATTGGACCAGCAGGCAGGCTGGCCAACCACCCACGTCCCCAACCCCTGGCCAGGCTGGCCGGACCCCACCCATGCACGAATTCATGCATCGGGCCTCTAAATATTATACATTTTATATATGTGTGTGTGTGTGTGTGTGTGTGTGTGTGTACACACACATACATAATATATATTATACATTATATATACATATACATAATATATACTGTACATTATATATATTCACATATATACATAATATATATTATACATTTTATACACACACACACACACACACACACACACACACACACACACACTGAGTGACCAGGTTGTTATGCGGAGCCAGCGTGTTGCCCTCTGGGAACCGGAGTTTCTCCTCAGAGTGTGTGTAGCTGCTCGTCAATGATGCCCAAAGTTCCGGCATTTTAGAACGCCCAGACGGACGGGCCAGTTCTCAGCGGAGGGGCCTTTGCGGGTCTCTTTTGCTTTATTTTTTGGGGGGGGAGAGGAGAGGCAGGAAGACGTGGGGCCATGCTGCCGTCTCCTCCCTCTGACCAGGGAGGCTGAGCCGCAGACCCGAGCGATGCTGTTCCCAGAAGGGAGGGGGTGCTCAGAACCACAGAAGCTCAGCGAGGGGGACTCCGGCTGCGGAGGAGCCTCCCTCCCTTGCGCTTGGATTCGAGCCCGCGCCCACACGCCCGAGACCAGCCCGAGCTGCCGCCCCGCGTGCTTTTGCCCCGAATCGCGAGCCAGTTTCCCGAAAACCAAAGGCACAGGCAGGTGGCTGCGCCCAGAGGTGTCCCTTCTGAGCTCCCGCGGCCTGCGGCTGCTCCAGCTCCGTCTCAGGGGACTCGGTCTCAGGGGGACTCTGCTCCCCGAGCCGGGAGGGAGCGGGGCAGCCGCCCGTCATCTGCGGGGGATGGGTCCCCGCCTCCGGCCGAGGGACAGGTGCAGAGCAGGGTCCCCCGGGATGGTGTTGGGGTGACGACGGCCCAGGAGGAGGGCCCGGTGCCTCCGTTCACCGCCTACACTCCACCCGCCTTTCTCCGTGAGGCACCTGGTGAGATCGGGGGGCGCCCCACAAGCTGCTCCTCGTTATTCTGGGTTCACCCTGCAGAATAAAGACGGTAGAGACCACACCCCCCAAAAAGAAGGGAAAACTCTCCCGGCCGCAAGCCTGGAGCTGTTGTCGCGAGGAGCCGGCTCCTGCCTGTGTGCCCGGGGCTCCGGGCTCTGGAGGCGCCAGGGGGTCCCAGCCCGTGTGCTGTGCTGGGCAGCGCTCCGTGCTCCCCACCCCGGTGCCCATGCCGAGCGAGTAAATCATGGCCGCGCTGGGTCCGGGCGTGTGGGAGGTCCCCGTGGCGGAGTAGGAGGCGAGGGAGGTTGGCTGCGCTGCCTCTGCTCCCCGTGACCTGTGACCTCTGGCCTCTGGCCTCTCCGGCAGGTGCAAAACATGTCCCAGTCCATTGAGGTGCTGGACCGGCGGACTCAGCGGGACCTGCAGTACGTGGAGAAGATGGAGACCCAGATGAAGGGCCTGGAGTCCAAGTTCAAGCAGGTGGAGGAGAGCCACAAGCAGCACCTGGCCAGGCAGTTCAAGGTGCGTGTGCCCCGCGCCCTCCCGGGCGGGTGGGGTTTGCTGCCCTCGGGGCTCCCCCTCCCTCTAGAACGAGCGATGGGGGGCACCCCCCCCCCCCCCCGCACAAGGCTCCCTCTTTGCTGTCCGTGGAGACAGGCAGCCGCCTGCTCGCTCCTGAAAGGGTAGCCCGGTTCCCAGCACCTGCTAGCGTCAGAGGCCAGGGTCCCGGGTCCGAGCTCCGGCCACGTGCCAGCTCCGCTGCTGCTGGGGCCAAGCCCTCAGCCGAGGCCCAGCTTCCCCGGTTAGCGCCGTGCGGGGCAAGGGGCCCGGCTCCCGGGAGGGTCCCGGGGAAGAAAGAGAGAGAGAGACCCCAACATCTTCCCCACTCCTCCTCTCCGGGCGGCTCTGGATCTGATACTGTATATACATACGTGTGAATATGTATGTATATGCACATACACGTATACACGCTCCAGAGCGGACACGGCTGCCGAATTCCTGAACACGGCGGTGACAGGCGCCTCGTAGGCAGCCGGCGCCCGGGTCTCACTCGGCCGCAGGCCGGCAGCCTGCCCCGTCGGCGCCGCGTCTCCCTTTGACGAGCTCGGCGTGAGGCTCTTAAAGGGCCCCGTTCCTAGACGCCACGATGAGCTGACGGGGACACAGGTCTAGATCACGCGTGAGACACGCAGGCCTGGCCCGGGGAGGAGGAGGAGGAGGAGGAGGAGGGGCAGGCGCTCTGGCCCGAGGCAGGCGGGAAGGGTTTGGACCTGCCCGACCTGGAAGAGTTTGTGTCTCTCCGCCAAAGGCCAGCACTCCCTCCTCGGGGAGAGAGGGGCGGGGTGGGGGGGAGGCAGGGTCCTCTCAGGAGGACGGGGCTCCCACAGCAGGCCAGCGCCTCTCTGGGCGCGCCACCCACTGAGCCACCTCCCCAGGCCCCAATTCGGGGCCCTCGCCCTCGGCCAGGCTCCCATTGCCTCAGCCCGGCCGGCGCCGTGTGCTGAGGGGCGTAGGTACCCGGCGAGGCTGAGGGGACGCAGTGCGATTGTTTTTTGTTTTTTTTGACCGCGCCCCTATCTGTCTGTGCGTGGCTGTGTGTGTGAGGCAGGCCCGGGAGGCAGCTCTTCAACGGTCTTTCGTTTTCTTGCTTGCAGGGCTAACCTAAAAGCGTTTTTTCAGAGCCGCAGAGACCGAAGAGGCATGTACCCATGCACCCATGACCGAGGGCCAGACCGCTTTTTGCACCCTGCATTTTTACTGCCCTTCCCCGACACTTAGCGCCATTTCACTCAGGAGTCCGGCCACCACCCTCTTTTTTGCATGCGACCGTAGATGCATTTCACGGATCCTCTGAACCCTTGTCAATGCATTTTTCTTTTCTTTTTTTGAAAAAGAAAAAAAAAAAAAAAAAAAAAAAAAAAAAAAACAGGAAACGTTGTGTTATGTGACCTGACGCATGTAACCCTCAGATGTTGCATTCTACCTGACAATAAAGACCTTTTCCCAAAGACGCTGGTGTCCTGGAGACTGTTTCCTACGCTCTGCCCACGCCGGGGCCCGAGGCAGCCGGGAGCAGGCGGGGCGCGGCCGGGCCCAGGCAGGGCGTGGCGAGTTTTTGCACGCATCGCACTGAACCCGGCTTATTTTGACCTTGCAGGCGATAAAAGCGAAAATGGATGAACTTAGGCCTTTGATACCCGTGTTGGAAGAGTACAAGGCCGATGCCAAATTGGCCTTGCAGTTTAAGGAGGAGGTCCAGAACCTGACGTCAGTGCTTAACCAGCTGCAGGAGGAGATGGGCGCCTATGACTACGATGAGCTGCAGAGCAGAGTGTCCAATCTCGAGGAGAGGCTCCGTGCGTGCATGCAAAAGCTAGGTAGGCCCAGCACCCTGCGGGCGGGCTGGCCCGGGCGCGGTGCTGCAGCGGACAGCGCCCGCCGGCTTCCGGAGGGAGCGTGGGCTGCAGGGCCGGGCAGGGCCCCTGAGTGAGCCTCCTGAGGGCGCAGGCTGCACCCCTGGGGCGCGTGGTCCCACCCGGGCCGAGGCCGGCCGCAGACCCCACCGGACTGCACATCTGGAAAAACAGGAGGATGCTCGTTGTTGCAAACCATCTGAGGAGTGTGTGTGTGCGCCCGTGCGTGTGTGTGTGTGTGTGTGTGTGTTGGGGGGGGGTTAGATCTGAGGACACGAGTGGTTTAGGGCTGGAAACTGCTCTCTGACTCCCTCCAGGGGAGGCACTGCCCGGCCCGGACGAGCCAGTTCGGTCCCACCGGGCGGGTGACCCTGCGTCCGCGTAGGGGCAGCGTGAGCTCTCATCCGTGATCAAACGCCCACTCGCCTCGCCCACCTTCCCGTCAGTTGCTTTTACAAGTCTCTTTCCTACACTGGCCCGAGGGTATTTTTCCCCATTGATTTTCTTTGTGTGTTTTTTTAGAGAGAGTAGAACGAAGGAAGGGGAGAGAGAGGGGAGAGAGAGAGAGAGAGAGAGAGAGAGAGAGAGAGAGAGAGAGAGAGAGAAAGAGAGAGAGAGGGGAAAACCTGGGTGTGAGAGAGACACCCAATCAGCTGCCTCCCACACTGCCCCGATGGGGACCTGGTCGACCTGAAACCCTGGTCCGTGGCCTTGACAGGACCGGGACCTGCGGCCGGTCGGCGTGAGGGCCGGCGCGGTTTAATCCGATGTCCTTACTTCGCTTTTTATTCACCTCCCCCCACACACACACATACACACACACACACACAGATACACACACTCACACACACACATACATACACACATACACACACTCACACACACACATATATACACACACACACACACACACACACACACTCACAGACACACACATACACACACATATACACACACATGCACACACACACTCGTGTGCTCCAAGTACCTTGTTAGAAATGTAGGAATCCCCTAAGAGTCGGTGCTGGTGCTGTTGTCCGGGAGGGATGGAAAGGTGCCGAGGGCGGGGGGTGGAGTCCCAGGTCCCCGGGCCCGGGGCTGCCCCAGGCGCCGGGGGCGCCGTGCACATCGGCTGCTCCGGAGAGAGCTGGGGAGGGTGAGGGGGGGTCCGGAACCGCGGTGACGCTGGCTCTGCTCGCTCCTGCGGGGCATGGGTGCCGGGTTCCTGCCCGGAAGACCCCGAGCTCACTGCCACCTCTCTCCCCAGACCCTCCCGGTCCCTCGGCCTCTGAGGACCCTGAGGGTGGGAGCATGTGGGGGGAAGGGCAGGTGTTATTTTGGCCCCAGACAAAGCCTCCACGTTCTTCAATGAGCAGATCCCGGAGCAAAAGGGAAATTCAGAGCGAAGGCCTTTGGGGGCGGTGCCTGCCCGCCTGGCTGAGAAGCTCGTGAGCTCAGCGATGGCAGCAGGTCTGGGGCGTCACGTGGTCCCCGCAGGCTGCTGAGTGCTCCTGGGGGCAGAGGGGATGACGAGGCCCCTGAGGCCGGCTCTCCTCCCTGGAGGGCAGCCTCCTGACTCACCTCCTGTTTCCTTCTTCCCTAACGGCCTTGGTGTCAGAGAGACTGCGAAGCGGGGTCTGCAGGCAGGACCAGGCTCTGCGGGGGGGCCGCGGTCTGCGGGGGAGACCAGGGTCTGCAGGGGGGGGGGCCCGCGGTCTACACTGAGCCAGCACCAGGCGGGTGGGGACGAACCAGCTGAGACGGGCTGGGGAGGCCGTAAGCTGGTGACAGCGTGTGACCCCCAGGCGGTGACCAGCGGGCGTCCGCAGGAGGGCGGGGTCCCTGTGCTGGGGGCGGTGGCCGCCGCGGTGTCACGTACATCCCTCGCTCCGGCCCGGCACAGCGGGGGGGGGGGGGGGGGGGCAGGTAGATGGATGGTAGGTGATTAATAGAGATGATAGATGACAGATGGCAGATGATGGGTAGAGACAGACAGAAGGACAGGTGACAGCCGACCGATAGGTGAAGGACAGACTGAGCCGCTGCCGCCGCGTCCCCTTCTCGGCGCCCCTTCACCTCGGGAGCCGGGGCCTGGCGCCCTGGCCGCAAGCAGGCGCCCTCCGCAGCCGGGCTGCGCGGGAGGTGCCAGGGGAGCAGCCTGCGCGGCACCCGCTGACCTGTCCTGAGGCGCCCTCCGCCCGCTCCTCCGGGGCTGGGGCAGGCTGACGGGCGCCCATCCAGGCACAGGGCTGAGAGGCACCTGCACGGGCACTTCCCGAGCCTCCTCGCCCCCTCGCCCTCGCCCCCCAGCCCTCCCCCACCTGCCCCACCCCCCCGCCCTCCCCCCACCTGGGCGCCAGTGATGAGAGAGGGCCCTTCCTGACCTGCCAGCCGCCCCCTGCGGCTCGGCCAGGGGCTACGCCTGTCGGTCCCCGAGGTCCTGGCAGAGCCGTCCGGACAGAGACCCTCAGCCTGCGGCCCGGGTTCAGGGCTCCTCCGGGGAGGGGGGGAGGGGAAAGGAGACTTCGGAGGGGGCAGAGCTGGGCTGGCCCTGCTGCGGGTCACACCTGCCCTGGGGGGTCACCCCTGCCCTGGGGTCCCACCTGCCCTGGGGGGGTCCCACCTGCGCTGGGGGTCCCACCCGCCCTGGGGGGTCACCCCTGCCCTGGGGGTCCTACCTGCCCTGGAGGGGTCCCACCTGCCCTGGGGGTCACACCCGCCCTGGGGGTCACACCTGCCCTGGGAGTCACACCCGCTCTGGGGGTCCCACCCGCCCTGGGGGGTCACCCCTGCCCTGGGGGTCCTACCTGCCCTGGGGGGGTCACACCCGCCCTGGGGTTCCACCCGCCCTGGGGTGGTCCCACCCGCCCTGGGGGTCCCACCCACCCTGGGGGGATCCCACCCGCCCTGGGGGTCCCACCCGCCCTGGGGCCTGCTTCTGAGCGGCCGAGGGAAGGCCCTGCGAGCAGGACGCAGGGACCGGCACAGCCTGCTGGCCTCCCTGAGGCGACCCGTGTCTCCGCACCCGTCTGGACTCCGTAACCAGAAGGACGGGGCCTCCACGCACCGCCGAGTCAGGCGTGTTCCCCGGGGCCTGGGGAAGCCCCTGCCTCCCGCGGTGACCCGCCCCCGGGCGTGTGCTCACTGCCCACAGGTCACTGCCTCCGCCCCACGCCGCTCCCCCGCGGGCGCAGATGGCGAGGCCGTGGGCTGGCGAGGGCTTCCCGAGGGAGGGTGAATTCACTCACACCCTCACTCATTCCTCACTCCCTCACTCATTCTCTCATTCATTCACTCATTCCTCATTCCCTCACTCATTCCTCGTTCCCTCACTCATTCCTCATTCCCTCACTCATTCCTCACTCCCTCACTCATTCCTCATTCCCTCACTCATTCTCTCATTCCCTCACTCATTCCTCATTCCCTCACTCATTCCTCATTCCCTCACTCATTCCTCACTCCCTCACTCATTCCTCACTCCCTCACTCATTCCTCACTCCCTCACTCATTCCTCATTCCCTCACTCATTCCCTCATTCCCTCATTCCCTCACTCATTCCCTCACTCATTCACTCATTCCTCATTCCCTCACTCATTCCTCATTCCCTCACTCATTCCTCATTCCCTCACTCATTCCTCAGTCCCTCACTCATTCCTCACTCCCTCACTCATTCCTCATTCCCTCACTCATTCTCTCATTCATTCACTCATTCCTCATTCCCTCACTCATTCCTCATTCCCTCACTCATTCCTCATTCCCTCACTCATTTCTCATTCCCTCACTCATTCCTCATTCCCTCACTCATTCTCTCATTCACTCACTCATTCACTCATTCATTCGCTCACTCACTCATTCACTCACTCATTCGCTCACTCACTCATTCACTCACTCACTCACTCATTCATTCACTCTGGACCAACCCAGCCTAGTCTTGGGGAGACAGAAAGGACCAGGAAACCCACAGCAATGTCTGCCCAGGAAGCATGATGGGAGGACGGAGGTGGGCTCGGAGGGAGAGGTCTGGGAGAGGCGTCCGTTGGGAAGGGGGGCATTCCCGGGGCGGACACTGGAGCAACCCTGTGGGGGCCAGAGTCGGCCGGGCCAGGCCTGGAGCTGGGCCATTGCTGACCCACCCTCTTACCTCCGAGTGTGATGCGGAGCAGAGTCGGTGTCCTGGTCCCTGGGCCAGGCCTGGCGGGAGGGAGGCGGACAGAGGCCACCTGACCCCAGCGAGGCCCCCGCCTCCCGGCTCAGGGCGGACACCACTGCCCTGGAGGCCGGCGGAGGGCGGTCACTCTGCCCACCAGCGGCTGTGCGGGTGGGTGTGGCTCAGCGCAGTGGCTGCCGGGGCCACGGAGGCCACGGGCTGCAGGGAGGGCGGCGCTGAGAACGCCCCCCTGGTCTGCAGCCTCCATCTGGGGGGAGGGCCCCGAGGTCACGCCTCAGGTCCTTCGATGCTCGCTGACCCGGGTGCCCAGAGCCGGCTCCCGGCCTCCGCTCCTCCCCCTGCAGGAGACACGCCGCCCTCCACGTGGCTCAGGAAGGCGGTGCCTGCCGAGGTCTGGTTCTGCCCAACGGGAGGGGCCGGCGCAGAGCCGGCTGTTCCTGCTTCCTGACCCCGTGGCCACAGTGTCCTGCGTGGGGCCCACGCCTGCCACAGGTGCCGGGCGGGCCAGCGCCTTCTCCCGGCCCCACTTCCCCGAGAGAACCAAGCGCGGCAGGCTGACCGCCTCCCCCGGGTGCTGCTGGGGCTGCCTCGGGGGGGACGGGGGGGTGTAGCTGCCCCTCCCTCCCCACTACCCTCGCCTCAGCTGCTCTTGGTTCCGGGAGGCCCCCGTCTGCAGGAAGAGCCAGGGGTGAGCGGCTGTCTAGCTGCGATCCCAGGCCGGGGGCGAGGGGACCCTGCACCCACAGGGCCAGGCGGCCGGGAGCGAGGGGACCCTGCACCCACAGGGGCCAGGCAGCCGGGGACGAGGGGACCCTGCACCCACAGGGCCAGGCGGCCGGGAGCGAGGGGACCCTGCACCCACGGGGGCCAGGCGGCCGGGAGCGAGGGGACCCTGCACCCACGGGGGCCAGGCGGCCGGGAGCGAGGGGACCCTGCACCCACGGGGGCCAGGCGGCCGGGAGCGAGGGGACCCTGCACCCACAGGGCCAGGTGGCCGGGAGCGAGGGGACCCTGCACCCACGGGGGCCGGCGCCAGGCCTGACCGCGCTCTGTCTCTTGCAGCCTGCGGCAAGCTGACAGGCATCAGCGACCCCGTGACCATCAAGACGTCCGGCTCCAGGTTCGGGTCCTGGATGACTGACCCCCTGGCCCCCGAGGGCGACAACAGGGTGAGTGCCCTCGCCGTCCAGGGCCAGGCGGCCACGCCCTTCCCAAGGCTGTCTCTCGGGCCGGGCTATCGCCACGGATAGAGTTCCTTCTCCCCAAATAAGTAGGAGCGCCTACTGTGCGCCTCTGGCTGGGAGAAAGCGGTGGAGAGCAGGCGGCCCGCAGCCCCACAGCCCCGGGGCTCCCAGGAGGGCTGGTGGGGGGCCTTGCCACCCACCGGAGACTTGGTGCCCCAGGCTGTCGCTTCCACACCCCCTCCCTGGCCGTCCCCCAAGCCGGACGCTTCCGTCTGGGGGAAGATAGCTCTGTCCTCTTTGGAAATGTGCCTGAGCCTCCAGCTGGTTTGGCTCAGTGGACAGAGTGTCGGCCGGTGGACGGAGGGTTCCAGTCAAAGGTATGCACCTCGTTGCAGACTGGGTCCCTGGCCCTGGTCGGGGCACGTGCAGGAGGCACCTGTCATCCGTCTCTCTCTCCTCCCCTTCCTTTCTTTTTTCCATCCTCACCCAAGGACGTTGTCCCATCGACGTTTAGGGCGAGTGGGAGAGAGGGGGAAGGACCGAGGGAAACATCGACGTGAGAGAAACACATCGATGGGTCGCCTCCTGCACACGCCCCAACTAGGGTCCGGGCCAAGGAGGGGCCTGTAGCCAAGGTCCATGCCCTTGACTGGATTCGAACCCGGGACCCTTTGGTCCACAGGCTGAGGCTCTGTCCACTGAGCCCAACCAGCCAGGGCTCCCCACTGTGTTTCCACTCTCTAAAAATCCACGGGAAAGCATCCTCAGGTGAGGATTAACCCAAAGGAAAAAAATGCCCTGTGGTGGGGGGGGGGGGGCGGCACCTCCGTTCCCGCCCTCCTCGGGGTCCTCGGGGAGGCCCCTCCGCTCACGCCGCCCGCCCGCCCGCAGGTGTGGTACATGGACGGCTACCACAACAACCGCTTCGTGCGGGAGTACCGCTCGCTGCAGGACTTCATGGCCTCGGACAACTTCACGTCGCACCGGCTGCCGCACCCCTGGTCGGGCACGGGCCAGGTGGTGTACAACGGCTCCATCTACTTCAACAAGTTCCAGAGCCACATCGTCATCCGCTTCGACCTGCGCTCGGCCAGCGTGCTCAAGCAGCGCAGCCTGGACTACGCCGGCTACAACAACATGTACCACTACGCCTGGGGCGGCCACTCCGACATCGACCTCATGGCGGACGAGAGCGGGCTGTGGGCCGTGTACGCCACCAACCAGAACGCCGGCAACATCGTGGTGAGCCGGCTGGACCCGGTGTCGCTGCAGGTGCTGCGCTCCTGGAACACCAGCTACCCCAAGCGCAGCGCGGGCGAGGCCTTCATCATCTGCGGCACGCTCTACGTCACCAACGGCTACTCGGGCGGCACCAAGGTGCACTACGCCTACCAGACCAACGCCTCCACCTACGAGTACATCGACATCCCCTTCCAGAACAAGTACTCGCACATCTCCATGCTGGACTACAACCCCCGCGACCGCGCGCTCTACGCCTGGAACAACGGCCACCAGGTGCTGTACAACGTCACGCTCTTCCACGTCATCCGCTCCGACGAGCTGTAGGCCGTGGCCGCCGCCGTGGCCGCCCGCCCGCGCGGCCTCCTGCCCCGCGGCCGCCAGTGACACTCGCGACACGGACCACCGGAGGCGGGACCCCTGCCCGCCCGCCCGCGTGGCACCGGGCACGGCCTCCGCGTCCCCCCGGCTCTGGCAGGAGGGCCACGGATTTGGGGAGAGACGCCCCACACCCCAACTTTGCAGCTGGAACTGCAGCCCAGGGCTCCCCCCGCCCGTCCCCCCTCCAGCCCCCCTTTTCGGTCGAATGACATACAGAGGAGGACTGCGTGTCCGCGGCCGGCCCCCCGGGCCCCCAGCACGGCCGCCGTCCCATCGCGTGGACTGTCCTCCGGCGGGGGCGGTGCCCGCGGGCGGCCCCGAGTGCCAGGCTCGGCGTCCGGAGGCTGGGCACCGGCTCCCCCAGCGGGTCCCCTCCCGGCGCTGCCCCGGCCACGTGTCGTGTCTTAGATCCCCTGTGAGGCCCGGGGCCGTGCCCAGCCCGTGCCCGCGGCGGCGGCCGGGCCGGCCGTAGTGTGTTGTGCCGTGTGTCTCGTCCTTGCGGTGGTGCCCGTGGTGGTTGCAGTGGGTGTTGTCGTGCGATGCGTAGTCTGGCCCGTCCGCGGGCGGTTCCTAAAGAAAATAACCCCGTGTTCGCCCTGTAGAGAGAGAGCCAAGTCCGCGCCAGGAAGCGAGGGCGGCCCATCTGGCCCGACCCTGACCCCTGACCCCTGACCCGAGCCCGGGAGAGGGTGCCGGGGGAGGGTGCGGGCGCCGCGGGAACCCTCCTCGGAGGACAGAGGGGGACTTGTGCTCTCGTTCCCTGAGGAACAATAAACGTAGTGGAGACGCGCGGCTCCTGGTGGTGTCTGAGGGCGGACGGCGGGGCCCTCGGGTGGGGAGGGCCCGCCCGGAGCGACAGTGGACACGTTCCCTTTGGTCTCTGACCGCCCGTCCCCCCAAAGCCCGGAGCCTTCCTCCCCCGGGGTGAATGGGAACCAGGGCTCCCCCCTCACCGGCATCCACACCCACACACCCGCACCCACACCCGCACCCACACACACACACCCGCACACCCCCACACCCACCCCCACACACCCCACACACCCACCCTCCACACACCGCACCCACACCCCCACCCCCACACACACACACCCCCACACCCGCACCCACACCCGCACCCACCCCCACACCCCCACACCCACCCCACACACCCCCACACCCCCACACCCACCCCACACACCCACCCCCACACACCCCCACACCCCCACACACCCGCACCCACCCCCACACCCCCACACCCACCCCACACACCGCACCCACACACCCGCACCCACCCCCACACCCCCACACCCACCCCACACACCCGCACCCACACACCCGCACCCACCCCCACACCCGCACCCCCTCACCCACCCCACACCCCCACACCCGCACCCACCCCCACACCCCCATCTCCGGGCAGGGAGCCCCAGGAGCAGGCGGCCGGCCGGGGGGCTCGGTGGTGAGGCCGCACCGGCGTGGACCAGCCGGATGACACGAGCGGTCAGCTGCCTCCCACTTCCTGCTCCCAGACGGCCTCAGAGGAAATGGCCCGAGACCCTCCCTCTGAGAGTGGGGCCGGGGTCCCGCACAAGCCCGGGTTCGGTCCACGGCCCCCGAGGCCGCCGCCCGCCCCCACGTGCGGGGCCTGTGAGGGGCAGGATTCCCCGGGCGGGGCTGTTGGGAGGGCGTTAAGCTCAGGAAGAACGGTCCCCGCGAGCAGCAGAGCAGCCGGCCACCTCGGACTCCAGGAACGGGCGTGCGGCTGACGGGGGGAGCCCTGGGTGAATTTTCTTTATTAAAAGTTTGGCCCAGAATCGAACCCTCACCCCGTCCGGGTGCCCGGGGGGAGGGGGGGCAGCGCGTGGCTCTCAGCTCTGGAGCGGCCGGGCCTCGGGGTGTCCCAGCGGCCCGGGCGGGTGCCCCCACACAGGTGCCCGCGGTCCCCTCGGTCCTGGCCGCGTGGAACGGGGGAGGCCCAGCCTGTCCGAGTGGCGGGAGGAGCCGCTGCGTGCTGGACGGTCCCTCTGGGCCGGAGTCCGGGGCACTGGCACGGGCCAGGCTCCCTCTGGGGGAGGGAAGGCCCCGGGCTCATCGCCGACAGCGGCACACGGGCCGGCTGCGCTCACCCACGCCACGCCCGACGCCATGCCACTCGGTGCAGTGGGAGCTGAGCACGGAGGAGCCCGGAGCCACGTGGGCACCTGCCCCCCGCACCCTCCCCCGTCCCTCTGACTCCCGCTCCACAGGGGCACAGGCTCCTGCCCTCAGACGCAGTCTCTCAGGGGCTGAGCTCCCCTCCGAGAAAGAGGGTCCACGTCCACGGGTGGCGGGCCGACGTGGAGATGGGCGGAGCCACTCTGGTCCCGTGGCCAGGCCTCAGGGTCCGGCTGCTGTCGCCGAGCAGCCATTTCCGCAGACGGCGGGCTTGCCTGTGGGGCTGCGCATGGCCGAGACTGGCTGTCGCCCCCTTCCCCGAGGAGTCCCCGTCTCCCCCAGGACGAGCACGGTTGGGAGAGGCATTGGAGGAGCCCGGCTCTGAGCCCTGCTGGAGGCTCCGAGACTCCGACTCTCAGGGAGGGCCCGTCCGAGGCAGCTTCGGGGTCCCCGGTGCGGCTCCCCCGTTCACGGATGTCACACACGCGGTCCCCACAGCTGGCCTGGCCAGCACCAACCGGCGGCCCTGTCCCCGCTGCCCTCCCGCCCTCGGCCCGGCACACACGCGGGCTCCAGCGGGTGAGTCACCGGCCGCTGATTCACCGCACGGCGGGCGGCAGAAGGTGCTGGAACGGTGAGCCCAGGCAGGGTCTGGCTCGTCCTCTGCCCGGGCTGTGAGTCACGGATGTGGCCGCCGAGGGGGAACGGGGGAAGCGGGCGCGGCCAGAGAGGCCGAGGGCTGGCGTCCGCTTCTGCCCACCGGGTGGGGGGGCCGGCAGGCAGGGGGCTCCCCTTTGCCAGGTGCCCTCCATCCTGCTACCCCCCCCCCAGCAACACACAAGCACACGTGTATACCCGTGAACACACATGCCACACACACGCACACCGGCTGATTCTAAGCCTGAGCAGCGGCCGGTGGGCAGGCTGTGGGTGAGCCCGCCCTGCACAGCGGGAGCCGCCATGCACCCGCCCGCTCGGGGCCACAGCTGCCGCCCGGGCCCTCCTGCCCACACTGCGGCATTGTGGGAGGGAGGGCAGTCACACGTGACGTCCTGTGTGTCTCCGCAGCTCACCCCACCTGGGCCTCGGCTCCCTCCCTGCCCCGGCCTGCGGGAGGGGCTCGGGGCATGTGGCGAGGCTGGGGCATCCCCAATCTGGGGGCGGGGTCACCGGGCTCCAGGGGTCCCAGCCCGGCGGAGAGCCTGTGCCTCTCAGCGCCTCCTGCGTGGGCCCTGCCCTGAGCCCTGCCAGCCGCCCACTGAGAGGATGGCCCAGAGGCCGTTGGCCGGCACCGGTCCGCCGGCCAGTGGGCCGGGTTTGCCGATGGAGGGCCTGCTGAGTGAGGTCCGGCCGGCAGCCAGGATGCAGGTCCGTCAGTGTGCCCCCCCCAGACTTCCTTCTCCTCCTCTCCAGCCAGGCGAGAGGGAGCCCCCCAAACCAGCAGCTGGCGGCCGGAACAGAACTGCTTTCCGCATTTATCCGGCGAAGGGCTGAGGGGTGGCGGGAGCCATGTTGCCGACGTTGCCGCTGCTGCTTCCTCTCGCTGAAGGCCCTCTCCGCACCTCCCCGGAGGCCAGCCATGGCCCCCAGCCCCGTGGGCGGGGAGACGTCAGTTACAGCTTCTGCCGCTCGGCTGCGGCCTGGCCTGGACATGTGCAGCTTCTGGAACGGCGAACGGCAGCCCGTGAGCCCCCCGTCCTTCCTCCCAGGGCTGTCCGCCCTCCACGCTGGTCCCTGCAGCCCCGCGGGAACACCGCCCTGGTGGCCACCCGCAAGGCAGTTCAAACACACGCAGTGCGCCTAGCTCCTGAGGGCTCGGCCCCCCTGGGCACCCACTGCTGGGCACCCACTCCGTTAAAGGTAGCGAGCTGGCACGGCCACGTCATACTCAGCCCCAGGGCGCCAGCTCAGCCAGGTTCGGGGGCCCGGGGCGGGGGGGGGGGAGGCGGTGACGGATGAGAAAAGACAGACCAGAATGAAGCCGGGTCATGGGACACTGTCCTCTCTCGTGGAGAGTCTGCGCCACGGACCACGGACCACAAGCCGTGTCTTTATTTCACAGCCACTGCCACGCGGCACGGGGGGGCGGGCCAGATGGCACAGCGTTCTCTGGGTCTCACCCACTGCACCACCTGACCCAGCTGTTTCCCGCGGCCTCTCGCTCAGGCGGTGGGGCCACGTGTTCGGACCACAGGGTCACGCTCACAACCACAGCTGGCGGCCATCACGGTGCTGGGAGGCTCCGCCCCGGGAGGACTGTGCCCTCATCAGCCCGAGGCTTGAACCGCCCTGGGGTTTCCGTCGAGGGGAGCAGACTCAGGGGGCTGCTGACGGTGCTCAGAGCCTCAGACCTCGGACCAGCCGGCGGCCGCATCCCCCGGACAAACGAACAGCAGACACAGGGCAGCCCCTGGACCCTGAAGGGCTCAGTGGGGGCTCAGTGAGGGGCCCAGTGGGGGGCTCCGTGGGGGCTCAGTGGGGACTCAGTGGGGGCTCAGGCTGGAAGGGCCGGGGCCTCCAGCGGCCGCAGGCAGGTGACTATGCTCACGAACAGCTCAGCATCCCACGGAGCCCGCCCGGAACCCAGCATCCCACAGAGCCCGCCACGGGCACACTCGGCAGAACCGGCACCGGAACCGGGAGCAGGAATCCCTCCCGGGTCGTGTCTCCCAGAGTCGAAGATTGAAACCGCGGGCCAGGGCGTCACAACACGGCGGAGTCACCGCCACCAGCGGCACCCCACTCTGCTCCTGGGCATCTGCCAGCGCCCTCTGACGCCTGGGCTGCTCTCTGACCGGTCCCGCGTTGGC